TATATCTGTAAGAAGGACATCTCTGAGTTTCTCCTGCAGTGCTGGTCTTGTTTTTACAAACTCTCTTAGGTTTTGCTTTTCTGGGAATATCTTGCCTGTTCAGCTTTCTTATTTGACCATTTCTTGTTTTCACTTTGTTGTTATTGTTGTTTTGTGCTGTCAAGTTGCCTGTGACTCATAATGACCCTATGTACAACAGCCCTGCTCTATTGTATGCCAATCTTACTGTCTCTGACACACCCACCCCCATTACCCCAGTCACTGGATCAATCCAACTCATCAAGGGTCTTCTTCTCCTCGCTGTTCCTCCACCATACCATGTCCTTCTCCAAGGACTGGTCCTTCCTTGCATCATGTCCAAAATATGTCAGATGAAGTTTCAGAATCCTTGCTTCCAAGGAGCAGCCTAGTTTAACCCTCTCCAGGATGAATGTTTATTCTCTGAGCAGTCCATGGTATATTCAATACTCTTCTCCAACAATACAGCTCAAAGTCATCAATCCTTAACATCCCTAGTCTTTAGCTTCTCTATATCCAAGAAAAAATTCAGAATTTTGCCAGATATTAATTTTGGTCTTTCCTTTGTTATCTTATTAATTATCTTTTGCTTTCTTCATAGATGACATAAAGAAATTAAATTCAGGTAGGATAAATTCATGCTCACATCTGGGTTCTCATGTACACCTTTTCTTCAGCTTCACTTTGAACTTGCATATGAATATATGATGATCTATTCCACAGTCAGCCCCTGCCCTTGTTCGTACTGATGATATTAAGCTTCTCCATCATCTCTTTTCACGGAGATAGTTTAATGCAAGTGTAGTCCATCAGACAAGATCATATGTACAGCTGGTGTATATGCTTAAAAAATATTTCTAGTGAATCATTGTATAAAATTTTATCATGCTAATATTGATACAGATTTTCTATCCAGCCTCATTTCTGTAACTCAGACCATATTTTCCAACTACCAGTCTTTCTTGTCTCTAAATTTTGCATTCAAGTTACCAATCATTATTATGAATGCATTTTTTAATATTAATGTATCTTGATAGCATGTTTGGTCAATTTCAGACTGCAGAAGTTAGTAGAAATCCTCAGTTTCTTCATCTTTGGCTTTAGTGGTTGATGTGCGCATTTGAAAAGTAGCTGTATTAACAGATCTTCTTTGTATACTTGTATATAGTATACCATCACTCATGACATTGTAATTCATGGTAGATTTTGAAATTTTTTTTTTATTTTATTATTTTTGTGTGAGTGTACCGTCAAATCAGATCTGATTGGTACAGGATGAGATTGTCCCTCCTTTTCCCGGCAGAGCATCTGGTGGATTCGAACCGTGTGCCTCTGGGATTGTAGTTGCAGCTCCTTGCCACTAGGCCATCAGAGCTCCCCTGAAATGTTTTTTCTGATGATGCATTCAACAACCATTCCTTTTCAACATGTTATCCCTGACAGAGTAGATCATATGATTGATTAAAAATGGCCAATAATGCCATTTCAGCTTACTAATTTCTAGAGTACTGATCTTTATGGATTCCATTTCATTTTGACAGTTTCCAATTTTCCTAGATTTATACTTTTTTCTCTGATTTATAGTTATACAGAGTATGGTGTTTAGTTTACAAAAAGATGTTATTTCGTATTTGTGGGACTACCACATATATCTTCTCCCGTATTGACTTCTAGTTATTTAATTCCATTATGATTAGAAATATACTTTGCATTGTTTGAATCCTAGTAAGTCTGGGTGTGGAAATATGATCTACCTTGGTAAACACTGTTTTCACACTCTTCAACAGTTGTGTAGTTATACATGTCAACTTGACGTGGTTGACATGTCAGACATGTTATAGCGTTCTATCCAACAACCTCACTATTCAATTTTTCAACCAGTTCAAGTAAGCCTGTTGTTTTTGTTGTTATGTGCCATCAAGTCGTTTGTGACTCATAGCGACCCTATGTACAACAGCCCTAAACCCTGCTCTATCCTGTGCCAATCGCACTGCCTCTGACACACCCAT